AGTCCCAGAGGAAAACAGTCTACCTATCTATAGAGGAAGAGAGAATGAGGCTAAAGCAGAAATGCCCAAATCCCACCTGAAAAGCTGGATATGACTCTTGAAATGTAAGTAACGGGTTCCCAAGGACATATTTATGCATAAAGATTGAAGCTTGTATGTAAAAGGATTAATAATTATACAATCCCCACTGACTCCTAGGAGAAATTGTTAAATGTTACATTGCTTGAGACACTGTTTCAGGCTACAAAAGAGARGTGTGAATTTCTCCCAAAGCCTAAGGTTTCCACTTCAAAGAAGAGATTTTCAAATTTCTGCACTCAGCTACAGAACAGTTAGGTCATTTATTGTAAGGGTGTATGCAAAGAGCTTATCGCAAAAGGGCAGAAGAGCAATAATTTACAAAGAAATACTACTCCCTTTTTGCATCTACAGAGCGAATGCAGTGGCACCTTTACCACCTAAAATATTAAATTACTATGTAAGGGTCTGATCTTTCCAGCAACTCTTAAGATGACTGGAAGGAAAACCTTTGCAGAACAAGGATTCTGGGTGCTATTTAAAGGTGCTATTGCAGGTGCTATTTAAAACATACTGTAGGCCCTTCTACACAGCAGATCAGACTTGGTTAAATTACAAGACAGTCCTGAACCGAATTTTTTCCAAGCATGGTGCCTGAGAAAAATGGAATCTGAGCTACTGGTCTCCCTTTGTCACTATTTTCATTGGGAAAAAAAGTCTTCCCAGGCASAGAAAGAATCACAGACTCTAGGACCTTCCCTCTATGAGTGGCTGCAATTTGGAAAAGGGTGTGCTGGACTGCCTCATCAGTTATCTTGCAGCAACCTGCAGAMAGAAGCTCTTGCCTTTTCTGCACTRAGGTGAAAAATTCTTTAATTWGCTCAAAAAGCATSCTGGTGTAAGMMGGTTTATCATGGTGGCTTCTAGCCAGTAACTGGGTGTTGGACCATTTCCAGAAGGACTCCCAGTGGGTCTAAAGCTGCCCTCCTAACTGGGGTTGGGTGCAGGGTCAGGTTCATTTGGAGAGCAGCATTGCCCTTCATAGGAGTTTTATGACTCTTCTGTTTATGTAATATCTCAACAAATATACTAGATTGCCCCAAAGAAATCTTCATAAACTTACCTGGGGCTTCTAAGAGAGRAACTAAGAAGAGATTAAAACATGAATTCAGTAAAATATCCTTTAAAGAAGTATTCGGGGCTAATGACAGAAGACAATATTTGAATCTTTTGTAATGCTGGCAGGAGAAATAAAAAGATACTTAGGAAAACTTGACAATCACCACAAGAATCCAGGATAAACTTTTACAAAGCAGTAAAAGAGACTTAGTGTCTCTCCAACTTACTTGCCCTTCCTTCTATTTCCATTGAATCACAGAACAAAACAATTATTYARGTTGAAAAAGACCYTYAYGTCCTACCATCAAAGTAACRTGAYCAAGTCCACCACTAAACCCTGTCCCGASGTGCTGCACATACACAGCTTTTAAATGCACCCGGGGATGGTGATGCCACAACCTCTGGGCAATCTGTTCCAATGCTTGTCAACCCTTTCCATGAAGAAATTTTCTGTTGCCCTTCTCTGGACCTGCTCCACCACCTCCATGTTCCTCTTGTAGTGAGGGGCCCCGAATTGGACACAGCCCTTGAGKTGTGGCCTCACCAGTGCCAAGTACAGGGGGACAATCCCTGCCCTGGTCCTGACCAGCAGTCACACCACTGCTGACCCAGGTCAGGATGTCACTGGCCTTTGTGGCCACCTGGGCAYACCTGGCTCATGCTCAGCTGCTGTTGACCAGCACCCCCAGTTCCTTTCCCACTGGACAGTTTTCCAGCCATTCTGCCCCAAACCTGTAGCAGTGCATAGGGGTTGTTGAGCCTCAAGTGCAGGACCCAGCACTCTGCCTTGTAGAAACTCACAGAACTGGGCCTTGGTCCATCAGTCCAACCTGTMCAGAGCTTTCCTGCTCTCCAAGATATCAATACTCCCACTCAACTTGGCGCAGGTTGAGCGCATTTGATCTCCTCGTCCAGATCACTGATAAAGATATTAAATCAAACTGGCCCCAAAACTGAGCCCTGGGAGACACCACTGGGGAYCAGCTGCCAAATGGATTTAGCTCCATTCAGCACCCYTCTCTGGGCYTGGCCATCCAGACAGTTTTTTACCAGAGAACACATCTAAGCCATGGGAAGCCAGTTGCTGTGGGAATGCTGTGGGAAACTATGTCAAAGGCTTTACCAAAGTTTAGGCAGATAACATCCACAGCCTTTCCATCATCCATAARTGGGTCACCTTGGCACAGGAGGAGACCRTGTGGGTCAAGCARGACCTSCCTTTCACAAACCCATGCTGATGGGGCCTGTTSTCCCCATTGTCCTGCACATGCTGCACGATGGCAACCAAGGTGACCCGCTCCATGACTTTCCCAGGCACCAAGGCCAGGCTGACAGGTCTGTAATTCCTCAAATCCTCCTTCTGGCCCTTCCTGTAGATGGGCATCACATTTATTAAACTTCCAGTCCACTGGGACCTCCTCAGTTAGCCAGGTCTGCTGACTGATTCAGCTGGGCACTGCCCCTGGCTGGCTCCCTACCCAGCTGTGTCAGGAAATTATCTTCCACACACTCCAGCAACTTCCTGGACTGTTTCCTCTCCCCTGTGTTRTATTTACAGCAGACCTCTGGTAAGTTCATGGCCCCCATGAGAACAAGGACTAGTGATTGTGAGACTTCCCAGCTGCTTATAGAATATTTCTTCTGCCTCCTCATCCCAGCTGGGGGATCTACAACAGACTCCCACATGGTATCTGCTTCATTGGCTTTCCCTCCGATTTTTACCCTTAAACACTCAATTCTGCTATCACCATCCCCAAGGTTATCTTTGCTAATGGAACTGCAGCCTGTGACACAGCCTGAAGAACAACCCTGTGCTGGGACACTTTCTCTCTCCTCCCCACCATTTAGGATCCCAAGTCCTCTCCCAGCCCTGCTCAACACTTGGAGCTATTGGGATTGTCTCATCTATTCTTTGTGCACGACTGCCTGGGAGATGATGGGATGTAAACACTGACCAGTTTACTGCCAGGATTAAAAAATTGTGGAGAAGCAGGCAGTCAGCTGGGATTGAAAAGACATACTGGACAAGTTACAAAACCATGCACTTGGGAGTTGTGCTATGTATGYTATGAGGGCAGTAGCACAGGAATGCTGTCTCCTTGTGTAAGTTAAAGCTTTTCACAGCTCTAATCAGATGAACATTCTTGCCTAGTTCTATGGAGACTGATTTACACACACGTTTTACTTCCATTAATTATTCTTCTCCATATTTTCATATTTTCTGACTGTATTTTCTTTCAATCTTGCATCTGCCTCTGCTCCATGTTCCYCTCTTTACAAGCAGTCTTTATGCTTGGTTTCATTCCTGCAATAAACAAGCAAGGGATCTTCWTTGAAAGTATGACAGAAAATACAASCAAGGAGAAAATCCCCCTCATTGTCTCAATTAAGATTTTTCTGTCTTTGACCATGCAGTCCTCTATGCCCAAGTTCAGTTTTTCCACATTTCTTTTCCTGCAATGTCATGCTAATACACCAAATTCAGTCAAATACTGTGATTAACAGGACAGCTGCACACAGTACAATAACACAGCASTACTTCCTATGCATACATTTATGTTACTTATGGTTGTCAAGGTGTATATTTACATGAAACTCAAGGTTCAGTGGAGGAAAGGTTTGGTGAAGAGGTCTGAACAATACTTGAAGAGGAGGAAAAATTTTATATTCCTTAACGAAGAAAGCCTGTGAATAATTCAGTTCAGTAAAAAGAYGATTGCTTATGGCTTGCTGGAAGGACATCAGCGTGTCCACAGAAGGGAAACAAGATGCATCAAGAAGCACTAGAACCCAGTCCTTGACAGTAGAGCTAAAGATAATTGGTCCTGCCCCATAGCTGGGTACTGGGAAAGGCTGGTTGTGGATTTCAGCAGGGAATAAGTACAGTAAATGCCCTCTTTCCCATTTCTTCTAATGGTACTTTGGCTTCTCTGAATGACTACTCCCATTTGCTTAGGCTGACTTTGCTTGAGATGATTTTGAGACAGCTGATGGAACACATCAAGGCTACTCTATTGCAGGTTGTAAACATTTAAACCAGGATGCTGGAATACTCCTGCACTTACCAGCACTGCAATACATATTCTGAGGGCAAGAGGAGAACAACAGGGTATGTCACTGATTTTGAACAGCTGGCAATACTGGAACCTGGGAGAATTAAATGGTTTAGCAGTGTGCTAGCCAGAAAGTGCTCTTATTTGTGACACAGTAGTGGRGAACTTTCTTGTAATCATCTCCATACAGAGTTACTTCAAAGGTCTCCTTTCTTGGTACAACTACAAAATACATTTTCAAGGAGCTGTAAGAAATGAGAATAGGTAGGGAAAACTATTTTAGGTGCTTTAAATCCAGAAMCCTTTACCAACTTATTAAGAAGAGGAAGCAGCAACTTATTTCTAGTCACGTGTAACTCGGCTTGCATCATTTTCCTCCCTGGCTCAAGAATGATCCCAACTTCATTCATTTTCAATGCTTACATGGAAATAATTAATTTTTATTAATAAAATACATAATAAAACCCAAGTTCTTCCAAGCATAGAACAAAAAGAGATATTGAATGGTACATAACTACAGCATGCTCATAATTCTCTATCATCKACTGTATTTCCAGGCTCTCACCTGCCCCAAATAATCAGACCAATATAATAAGCTACATATATAATTGGTGTTGTCAATCATTCTATACAGAACATCATGGAGAAAAGAGCTTAAAAAGCAAACAACTATATTCAAACACCAAAAACTGAAGAAGTGGAAACATTTAACAAATCTCAGGTAGCCCTTTCACCCCCACTATATTGCCTGTCTTATCATTCTCCCTCCCCCCTCAAACAAGGACAGTAAAAAAAAAGTCATTAAAATACCTTTGAACTTGTGAAAGACGGCCCATAGCTCAGCAATGTCAGTGGCAAAAGTAATGTCTGTGTCGAGGACAATGACTCGCTCAAGATTGGAAGGTAGAGTCTTAGTCAGAACCAACTTCATCAGCCCGTAAATTCCAGAGTAGTGTTTGTTGGGGATCCAAGACACTTCAGACTTGACAGGAAATGGGAAGTGGCAAAGAGGAAGAAAAAAATAATCTTCATTAGAAAGAGAAACTTTTCCTGATGCTAATTTCTTGTTACAGTGGAAGATCTCTGAGGTGGAAAGTCATCTAAAATCCTGGTTTTAAATTTACTTCAGAAGCTCTCAAGTTCATTAAAGTTTCTGAAAGTTTAGGTAAAAGAGTTTTCAGAGGCAACCTCTTTAAACAACATAATTAAAATTAACTGAGGCTTTCTGGTCTTATACAATTCATTCTGAGACATCCATGTATCCTGATAAAATTGAAATATATTCTTCATCTAAAATCACAGGTATATTGTATGTTACTTTCATTCTCAACCAAAAAAAAAATCTGTCATTCTCAAAATTGTCAGACTGATGCAGAAGTAACAAGAATAGTATTTMCCTTATTTTTTTAATAGATTTGGAGGTCAGAATTTCAAAAGACCAGTCATTTGAAATAATGGGCCAGAAAATTGCAAGAAATTMTTTTCTTACAAACTCAAATTTTTCTTAAGACTTACATCTTTAACTTAAAACTACTGAGATCACACAGACATGCTCAAAAGTAGAGACCATGACAGAACATTTTTATCCACATTTTTTGTTTCATGTATTCAATGTAGCAAACTCAAACATTTTCATTTCTTCAGTAAGGGCTAAACAAAACATTTTTACAGCTGCTAAAATAAAGTTGGGAAACTGAATTTTGTAATGCATTGTACTATTGGCACTATGATGYTCCATGAGCTATGTTTAGTTTCCTTTCTATGAGACTAAAGCTCTGAAGTATCAAAAGTAACTGCTTAAAGTGAGATACAGAACTTTTTGAAAAGTTCCTATTTCCCTGTCTGAAACTCCTCTTGTTTGCTTTAATTGCACTACAATTCCCAGATTTTAAGTTTTCTTCTTGAGTCATCATCTCATTAACTTCAATTAATATTCTGTCTTCAGGGGACTTGAGTGAGATAGATTTTGGGATCTGTCCTGGTATGTTACACTTTGGACAAAGTAGGCAGAACCTAATTGTGCTCATAAAACTGAGGTTTATTCTGTTGTTTAACTATCCTGTATTTATTCACTGCCACTGTAAATTTTATTATATGAAACATTTGCACAGAAAAGCTAATTTCCCCTAAAATCCTTAAAGAAAGCACTCTATAAGAGAATAAGTTCCTAAATTTGAAAGTTGGAAGCATGGCTGAAGAAAGGCTAGTAATAGGTGCTTAGAGCACATTTCTTTTTGAATATGAAGTRAGAAGGCCTCTGATGATATAACCGGACCTGCTTTATTCCCTTTAAAACAGCACACAACTTTTCTTTGTATTCTCAGGATTCCTGTACCTGAGCACTCAGTACAGGACACACCTGTACACTCTCTCACTACAAAGTTCACCAAAAAGACAGAGGGAAGTAAAGCAAACCTTCAAGGACAAAGACTAGAATTTAAGGGGGAAGGCAGGAAAAGCAGGTTATCATAAACTAAAAACAGAAAAGCGCAAACTGAGGTGTGAAGTTCTGTTTGGTTTACTGAAAACTCAATGCTCCCCAGAAATGTGTTTTGTGTGTAACAGATAATTTCAAATTCACACTCTCAAAACTCTAGCAATCTGTGGTCCCTGCTCTCCCACATGGTGGCTGTGGGAATGGACCATCACATCAAGGTGTCAGCAAATCAGAATCTASTTTGCTTCTGCAAACCATACTGTTCTGAATCTGCCACTTGGTATCCTTGGGCTAGACTAGTCATACCTGACACRTAGAAAGAATCATTTTACAGACTTGAGCTTGCTTGTACCCATTGCTATGTTACTGATTTTGGATGACATGTCTTTCATTTTATTAGTTGAAATATTTCTCCAGAACAAGACCCAGTATGCTTATGTAAATAGGCCTAATAAGGTAGGGGTTCACATGTTGCATAAAGAATAGCCTGAGACAAAGAGCCTGAGACAAAGAGCCTGAGACAAACAGGGAAGGTAAACGGTGGCTGGAAAAGTAAATCACCTTCAAGGTGCAGTTATTTCCTCTGCTCTCAGGATTTCCAATTTCTATCTGCCATGTATCACTGCAGGGAAGAAGCCCCTGTCTGGCAGTTCCCGCTGATCTGGCACACAGAAAACAAAAGCCTGCCATCCTGAAGCCTGATGTCTGAAGGGATCACTTTCAAAATGAAAGGGGCAGCCCCTATTCCAAATGGCCCACCACAGGTGCCTAGCACGTGTGGATTTRAGGATATGTTGAAGCTTGGACTCTCAATCGATTCAATTTATCCCCTGTTTTCTCTCCTGTGATGCACAGTTGACTAAGACACAAACAGAGATCCTAATTAGTCCCCAGCATAATTTCTTCATGGCTTTGCTATTAATGAATAATGTAACAGYTCCAAATTCATGTTAAGGAAAACTYCTTRCACTACAGAAGAGCACTGTGAAGGCTCACTCTCTGGGCACTACATTTAGTCTTATGAGAATAAATAGAAGGGCATGAATCTGGAATAAGTGCTTAGTCCTTGTCCTAGTTTTGGCCAGGATCTGGAGGTTATTCTGTATCACCTCAAATCATTGCTGGGGGCGGGGGGAAGGGACTCTGTCTTCTGAGCAGAARGGTGTGGCTTCTGGTCAAAAAAAAWTTCCAAATATTATCTAAGTACTTTCTGTAAGCTTTAATACAATTTTGTTTCTCTAGCATAGCTAAAATGGCCCATATATGGCATGTTTGTGAGTCATCTGCTTAYAAGATCAGAGGTGGCTTCAGAGAACAAACACTCCTAGAAGATAGATACACCAGGAACATTAAAAAATAAAATTAGTAAAAGGCGAGAGTGAAACAAAAAAGTGTGACATCCTCTGCCATTTGTGTAATTTCCAGTTCYGCAGAAATAGCACACCTTGGATCTCTAGCTCTCAAGATCTGTAATTTTGTTCATGAGGAAAGAGTAWAGAAAAGCATTTAGCTGGTACTGACATTGATTCTTTTAATTTAAGTGAAATAGCATTTACTCACTAAAGGTCTTTCATCAGAACCATCTTTATTCTTCTCATAATTGAAGACTGAAAACACACTAAAGTATCTAAATGACTTGAATATAAAAATCACATGCCCATGAGTCTGCATGCAGCACACAACAGATCACCTGGTAAACRCCAGACAAGTGGGAGCAACAGTTTCCACGTTCAGATACACTTCACCAGCAAGTTGTCTTCCCTAACTGTGTTCCACCTCTGAGAAAAGCTGACTAAATCACAGTTGCTGTACACAGCCTGACTCAGCTTTCTCACAGTTGTTACCACTGTATAAATGTTCATTACAGTTAACAAGTGTCATGTTACGAGAGGTCTGACAYAGAGCTTTAAATCACGTTTCCCTGTTTCCTTGACTGAGAGGGGGAAATGGTGGCTCATTCTCTGTGAACAAACTACATAGTGAGTACAATGACAAGTATTTAGGTACTTTTATTTYTGAAACACTTGAGTCTAGTTGACCATACATTACAATCACAAAACACAACTCTTGTACCAATACTGACTAATCCACAGCTCTAAGTGAAGTATCTGTACAAGGACAGGACACTTGGGCCTCCTTGAAAGAAAGGGAAACTTGGGATTTGTAGACTTAGCATAAAACAAGTTTGGAAAACAGTACYAACATGAACAGAATGAGTGAATGAAGGCCAAAATACTTATGAGTGCCTGTACTGGCCCCATGTATATTCCCATTCTGCACAATTTGCACCGAGTTTTGGAGCTACTGGTACTTTTGTTGATTAGCAACTTTGGTGGATTTTTCATCCATGAATTAGGATATAGTTTCATATTCCSTAGAAGTCACATTAATTAAATTCAATTATTATTACATTTCTGTTTTTACCTCATGCTCTTAAAGGTTATCAGTCTTGCATCCCAAGATACTTTGTTTGCAAATATGACACTTCTCTTTTCCACATTACTAAAATAATGGTAAACAGAGCAGTATGATGAAGCCCAAGAAAAGAGATGATGTTTCAGCTGTCTTACCTTAGTGCTTGTTTATATATACACAGAATGAAGCATCTAGCAAGCACAAAAGCAGAGAGAAGATAAACTAAGCCTATATTGGACTGTGGAACTGTACATGTTTCTCTCATTTTTTACTCTCTTCTCTAAAGCACTGGATGTTGATGGAAAGCCTAACACCCTGATTTGCTATGTGCTTCTTGGATTGGGAGGTGACATATAATAGYGCCATGAAAAAAAGCTCTCAAAAGTTTCAGCTATCAACTGCATAAACTTAAAACTGCATTTCCCTTTMATAAATAAAAGCTTCCCTTCAAAAACCATTTCCCCAGTTAACAACTTCTGATTACCTCTGTGTCAAAACAAAATGCTATCCTGACCTTTCCTGATGAATAGGATGTACGTACAACATCACAAAACCACGGAGTGAGCTTGGAAGGGACGTTTGTAGCCATTTGGTCCGACCTCCCCCTGGCACAGCCACCCAGAGTCAGTTGCACGGTGCCATGTCCAGATGGATTTTGACTGTGTCCAGGGATGGGGACTCCAAAATCTCACTGGGCAACCTGTGCCAGTGCTCAGTTATCCTCACAGTTAAAGAGTRTTTTACTGATGTTCAGAGAGCTCCTCCTGTATTCCAGTTTGTGCCCACTGCCCCTATTTCTGTCCCTGGGGACCTCTGAAAAGARCCTGGCTCTGTCTTTTTCACACCCTCTCTCCAAGTATTTATGTACAATGACAAGATCCCCCTCCAAGCCTTCTCTTCCATAGCAGAACAGTTTCAGCTCTCTCACCTTTCCTTGGATGTGAGGCAGTTCAGTYCCTTCACCACCTTAGTGGCCCGTGGCAGGATTCTCCATTATTTTCATGTCTATCTTGTACTGAGGTGCCCAGAACTCAGCCTGAACCCAGCCCTYCAGGAGTGGCCTCAGCAGTGCTGAGCAGAGAAGGGTCACCTCCCTTGATGTGCTGTCAATATTTTGTCTAATACAAGTA